CTCACATGAACAATACTAATTTTGAACTGACAAAGAAAACGAGATGGAACATCTAATATTGTCAACAACATTTGTATATACATAGGTTGTGATTGATATGGATATGAATTTGATGGTCGTTCATGATGTATGCTCCAACATCCTCCTTTTAGCAGTCTCTTATGTGCCAGCGCCTGCAAAATAGAGCTCTAGGGTCATCTTCAGGTGTAAACCTTCTATGCTTAAGTTAGAGTAGGGTGTCGTAGAATGAGTAAGTGTAGAAGAAAGTTCGTCCAGTACTTTGACCTAGGTCGTCATTTCCCTAGGACTCCCATGTCTAGTAATTTGGTGGATATAATTCATGATTCGGGCTTCCTCTGGACCTCTAATGGGCCTTCGTTTTAATCTTGCACATTCATTGTTCTCGGAACACACGTCTCTTTCACAAAGTCACGTTTTGTCTATTAAAAGTATATCTTTACCTTTATCACTTGCCTCCTATTTTATGTGCGCCGATAATTTTTACGCGTGCAAAAGTAAGTAATGGGATATTTTCACACGAATATTTGCGTTTTGTGCGATATCCGGTACTGTTGCACAGGTACAATTTAGCTGCTTCCTATAAAATCTCTCATTCTCTCTTCTCTTTTGACACTGAGAGAGAGAGAGAGAGGGAGGGAGGGAGGGAGGGAGGGATTTTCCATGCTTGACAGCAACTTTCGCAAGTCCTCATACCATGGTAACTTTTTTCTCACCCCTTACTATTTCTTCATGTCTTAATCATCGGTAGCTAGTTATCATCCGCCTGATTTCCACAGCGGTAATAGATGCCTAAGAGAACCTTAGTAGTAATAACTCAAGACGCATTTTAGAGACATCGGCAGTTGGAGGACGAATTTTTGGAGACCTAGGTAGTTTGAAGAGTCCTTCCTTGTAGACCCCAATAGTGTGAGGACGAATTTTTGGGACCTTGGTAGTTGGAGTCGTCTTTTCGTTGTAGACCCTTCGTTCGAGATAAATTTTTGGAGATCTGGGGAAGAACTTTTGGAGATTTGGGTAGTTTGAGGAGTCTTCTGTTGTAAACATCGGTATTATGAGGACAAAATTTCGGAGACCTTAGGAAACACTTTGAGGTTTTAGCCATTTTTTAAAACTAGCAATGTGCATGTGCATCCCACGTGGTGTTTAATTTTTTATTTTATTTATTTTTGCTAATTAATTTTATAGTAATGAAAATAATTAGTTTATTAAATTTGAGAGAATGAAATTAAAAGAAGAATAAAATGAGTTACTAATGCAAAGCTAAATAAATAACGTGATGGGTTCGAAAAATGAAGGGATTATGATAATGTACTATTGTGGCAACGTAAAATAGATGTAAAAATAATGTGGCATCTTATGTTAAACAATTGAAATAGCTTAACAAGAAACTACTCTGTAAAAAATGAAATAGCTTAATAAGAAACTAATGTGTAAATAAATGAATTACCTTCAAGAATGAATATACCGCCTTGTCACTTTTAATACAATCTAATATCTTTCAAAGTGCTTTAACATTCAACATTTCCTATGCTGCATAATCTTCAAAATGTGTATCTAGCAATGATTTATTTTGAACTTCTTTATAAATATCATCATTCGTGCTATTCCAATGTATAGGTGCATTTGAAACTCGTATTTACTAATACTTTTTCTCACACTCTTCAAGCAAATGTCACGTTTTCATCACTACTTTGAGTGATAACAAGTGCTATTATATTATGTTTTCGCAAATGTATTTATTAATATGTTTAATTCTAGTAATTCTTCAACATGGTTTTGCTATGAAGCCAAACTTCTATATACAACAACTAAACCATACTATATTAATAAAATTATTAGTATTTTTTAAATAATCAGAGAATATAGTATGGTTTACTTGTTGTATATATTATAGAGCCAACTGTTGGTTTCATAGGAAAACCATTCTTCAACATATCTCTATACTTATGTGGCATTATATATTGATCGTAGATATATGTGCAGGGGATGACCTATTGACTGTTTAGGTGAGCATTAGGAACTTGAAATGTCATATTCTTTTATAAATTAGATATCCATCCTTACTTTGTATGATATTCTCGCAAAATGCACATGGTAATGATTTGTATTACCCATTTAACATGAAAAACTCTTACTAATTCTTTTCTCCACATGACCTATGGATCATATGTTTCTATTGACAGTCTGCGATCTTCTCCACAAAAGTCAGTTGCTTTCTCGAACAATATTTGTCGAAAGAAAACATCTTATAAGAGATATTGAAATATATATAAGTAAAAAATGCCAACATTGTAAAGTCGAATTTTGTGGGTGACGCTTGAAGAATAGATAGAATGAGTATACTCCTCAAACTATGAAACTCCTTATCAATTGACATGACTCACTAGTGGCTCTTGAGTGCTTGTGAACGCCGCTAGTTAACATTAGGAAGGTTCAATACTTTCTAAATCGTAATTACAATATAAACTACATTTATGTTTAGCGCTTTTAAATTGTAGTATAAAAACTAATATAAAGGCTTAAAACTGAAAAGAACAATGTGAAAACTTGGAATAGGCAAAAGATGATTCAGAAAATATATGGACTTGGAAGCTATCTACTTCTTATTCATACCAAATATTTATAGAGGAAACCAAAAGAAATAAACATGACTACAACTAATCTAAATAATCTCAACTGAATCCTGAAAATCAGCAACTACTAAAAGATAAGATAAAAGACTTATTCAAATACTCAACAATAAAAGACTAAGCCAAACTACTGAGACAAATTACTAACAATCTCCTCCTTGCCTCAGTATTTGCAAACACCTAACTTATCTCTTAACTCTTCGAATCTCGCTTTGGGAAGCGCTTTGGTTAATATATCTGCAGTTTGCTCCTCTGTTCTGCAAAAACTTAACTTGATTTCACCATCTTTCTGCTTCTCCCTCAAGTGATAAAGTCTGATGTTGAAGTGCTTCGTTTTTCCATGAAAACAGGATCTTTTGATATTGCAATGGCTGCTTGATTGTCTACAAAGATCTCTGTTGGCTCAGTTTGTTTCATGTGCAGATCTTCAAGAATTTTTCTAATCCAAATTACTTGATTCACTGCAGCATTTGCTGCAATAAACTCAGCTTCTGCAGTGCTTTGAGCCACTACATCTTGTTTTTTAGAACTCCATGAGAAAGCACCTGACCCAAAACTGAAACAATAACCAGTTGTGCTTCTCATATCATCAATAGAACCTGCCCAATCACTGTCAGAAAAACCTTGGAGTTGAAAATTATGGCAGCCTTGAAGCTGGAAAGTGTAAAGACTAGAATACTTGATGCCGTAATCAGTTGTGCCCTTAACATATCTTAGCACACGCTTAGCAGCTGCAAAATGGATTTTACTAGCACAATTCATAAACCTTGACAATAGACTTACAACAAAAGTTATATCTGGTCTTGTGGCTGTGAGATACATCAAGCAACCAATCAGACTCCTGTACAATCCTTCATCAACTTTTTCAGCTCCATCTTCTTTGCTTAATTTCTCTTTCAGATTCATTGGTGTGTTGATTTCCTTGCAATCTTCCATGTGAAACTTTTTGAGAATTTCCTTTGCAAATTTCTGTTGGCATATGAAAACTTCTCCAGTACCTTGTTTCACTTCCATACCCAGAAAATAGGACAACAAACCAAGGTCTGTCATCTCAAAAGTTTTGAACATATCAGCTTTAAAAACATTCACCAGCTTCTCATCACTTCCTGTAACAAGCAAATAGTCAACATAAACAGACACTATAATTAAATTAGCATCTGATTTCTTCACATATAAAGTGGCTTCACTTGGACTCTTCACAAATCCAAGACTCTGAAGATAATCATCAACTCTGCTGTACCAGGCTCTAGGGGCTTGTTTAAGGCCGTACAAAGCTTTTTTTAATTTGAAAACTTTCTCCTTCTGTCCCTTAACTCGAAATCCCTCCGGTTGTTCAACATAGATTTCTTCTTGAAGAAAACCATTCAAAAAAAGCCGACTTCACATCCAACTGATAGAGTTTCCAGTTATTTTGCGAAGCCAATGGCAACAACATTCTTATAGTATCCAAACGTGCAACAGGAGCGAAAGTTTCAGAAAAATCAACACCAAAAACTTGACTATAGCCTGCCACGACTAACCTGGCTTTATGTTTGTTTATAGAACCATCAGCATTTAGTTTGGTCCTGTAAACCCATTTAACTCCAATGATCTTTCTGTCTTTGGGTTTGTCCACCAACTCCCAAGTGTCGTTCTTCTCAATCATTCTAAGCTCTTCCTTCATAGCTTCAATCCATTTGACATCTTTCTCAGCTTCATGAAATTCGGCGGGCTCAAAGACAGCAACATTGCTTCTTGCATACACATCAGATAATGATCTAGTGCCACGAACTGGAACATCATCTATATTGTTGTCATCAAGGTCATCAGAGAATTCTGAAAATTCTCTCTCTTCCCAACTCCACTGCTTGTCCTCCATGAATTTGACATCTCGACTTACAAGAATTTTCCCATTTTGAGGTTGAAAAATTCTGTAGGCTTTAGACGTGCTGCTATATCCAACAAATACACCAGGTTCTGCCTTCTTGTCAAGTTTATCTCTCTTAATTTGCGGCACATGAGAAAAACATAGGCAACCAAAAATTTTTAAATTTTGTAAATCTGGCTTATAACCAAACCAAGCCTCATATGGTGTCTTTCCTTCAACAGCTTTTGTAGGCAGCCTATTTAACAAAAAAACTGCAGTACTTGCAGCTTCAGCCCAAATATTCTTTGGCAATTCTTTTTCATGAAGCAAACACCTTGCCATCTCCAAGATGCTTCGATTTTTCCTCTCACTTACACCATTCTGCTGAGGAGTGTAAGGAGTTGTGAGTTGATGTTCAATGCTTGCATCTTCACAAAACTTATCAAAAGTTGCATTTCTGTACTCCTTCCCATTATCAAACCTCAATGTGCGCAACCTGCAATCACTTTGATTCTCCACCCAAGCTTTAAATTTCCAGAAAATATTAGCAACCTCAGCCTTTGACTTGAAGAAGTAAATCCAACAAAATCTGGTGTAATCATCAATAAATGTAATATAGTACTTATTACCATTTAAAGATGATGTTCTTTGAGGTCCTCCAACATCTGAATGTACCAGCTGCAACTTGCGAGATGCTCTCCATGTGGTTTGAGGAAATGATTTCCTAATTTGCTTCCCATATTGACAAGCCACACAATCAGCCAACTTTTCTTCAAGGAGTGGTACACCTTTCACATAGTCATTTCTCTGCATATACAATAGTCCAGCATGGTGAAAGTGCCCCAGCCTTTTGTGCCACAGTTCTGCATTGTTGAGTTGGCACGCAACTGTTACCTGTTCAACCTCCAACAAATTTAGAGAAAAACTCTTTGCCTTCATCATCACCTTGAATACATCTTTGCCCAATGCATCCTTAATAAAGCACCACTTATCGTCGAAAATGACTTTGTAGTCTTTTTCAAGGAGCTGTCCAACACTCAACAAGTTTTGATCAATATCAGGCACATATAAAACATCATAAATATGCTTCAAACCTGACAAACTCTCAATAGCCACTGTGCCTTTTTCTTTGACAGGAATAAGCTGACCATTTCCAATCCTTACATTAGAGATAAAACTCATGTCTATCTCTATAAAAAGAGCCAAATTGTTAGTCATGTGATTGGTGCAGCCACTATCTATCAACCAAGATTCTGATGAGTTGTTCTTAGTTGCGAAACATGTGACCACAAAGAGTTGTTCTTCATCTTCTTCTGTTTGTGCCTTTGATGCTTCAGGTTGTTGGGATTTGCAAACTCTTTCCATGTGCCCCATGTTCCCACACTTCCTGCACCTGATATCGGGCCTCCACCAACACTTCCTTGGTTGATGGTTCGACTTCTTGCAATGAGGACAAGGAGAACTGACATCCTTATCATTGCTGGACTTGCTACTCTTATTTTTCCCTTTGAATTTCTTGTCTTTCCAGCCTGAATTTTCTGATTTAGCCTTCAATGCACCCTCAACAGAAAATCCATCTTTTCTCATCCTCCTCCTTTGCTCCTGAGCCTGCAAAGCATTAACCAACTCTGCCAAGGAAATGCTTGACAGATCCTTAGACTCTTCTAATGAAGAGATTTTTTACTCATACTTTTCAGGCAGAGTAACAAGAATTTTTTGAACAATTCTATCATCAGAGAATTCCTTACCTAGCAGACAATTCCCAACAACTTGTCGGAATAATCATTAATCATCTCTGATTCCTTCATCTTCATCATCTCAAATTCTCTAATCAGGTTGAGAATCTGCATATTCTTTGTTCTTTCATTGCCCTGATACTCCTTCTTGAGATAATCCCATATTGTTTTGCTGAATCAAGATTCATGATCCTGGCAAAAATGGTGCTTGAAACGCCAGAGAAAAGACAAGCTTTTGCCTTTGACTTTCTTGTTCTTCTCTCCTTATGAGTTTTTATCTGCGCAACCGTTGGATTCGCCGGTAACGGTTGAACCTCATAATTTTCTTCTATAGCCTCCCAAAGATCCAAAGCATCAAGATACACCGTCATCCTAATGGCCCATGCTTGATAATTTTGTCCATCAAAAACTGGTGGAGCATGATGGCTAAAAATTGATTGTGTATCACTCTCCATTCTCACTCACAGGTCCCTCAAGATTTTCAGCTCTTAGATACCAATTTGTAGTATAAAAACTAATATAAAGGCTTAAAACTGAAAAGAACAATGTGAAAACTTGGAATAGGCAAAAGATGATTCAGAAAATATATGGACTTGGAAGCTATCTACTTCTTATTCATACCAAATATTTATAGAGGAAACCAAAGAAAATAAACATGACTACAACTAATCTAAATAATCTCAACTGAATCCTGAAAATCAGCAACTACTAAAAGATAAGATAAAAGACTTATTCAAATACTCAACAATAAAAGACTAAGCCAAACTACTGAGACAAATTACTAACAAAAATTGTGAGTTATTTCTAGAAAAAATTGGATGCCAAAAATGGCCTACACTGTAAATAATTTCTCAGGTTACTAACGTAATTTTAATATTAATGTTAGGGAGCTACAATTATAAATAACTTTCACCATTCACTTTTTCAATCTGCTTTAGTTCATTCTTCCTTATTTTTATGTATTCGAGAATTTTTATTTATTATTTTTTTGAATAAAAATTGATATGAAGAAATTAAGATTATCTAACCAAGTATGCAAATTTAAAAATAAAATACTGATAAAACTTATCTCCGTTGATTGATACATGGTTATTTTTTTATTTTTCTTATGTTGTATGAGATCACTAAAGTAATTTGATTAAACATATATTTCAAAGATTTCTTTATTATTTAACTTATATTTGTATTCATCGAACGGAACAATTTTAAGTCCAAATACTGATTGTTGAGTATTTGAACTTGATTTGTGTGGGTTTTTTGTTTTCCCTTCTTGTTCTTCTGATTGATTTGGCTTAAATTTCTGTCCAACCTATTGTTTCTGAATCTTTTTATATATGATTTTTCTAGTATCAGATTGTGAAAGCTTTAAAGCATATATACGAACTGTAAAGTGATCCATTTTATGAGATGGAGATGCCTATTTCACACTGAAATTTATTTCACGTACTTTCTTGAATAATATTATGTTTTAAGAGAAATATGAATTATAACTGTAATCGGATAACATGAAGCAGCCGAAAAAATTATGTTAAAAGTCACATTTTTACATAGCATCATCCTTGACAATCTAAACCATATAGTAGCACGTGGAAAATTATTTTGCTACGACATCCCACAATATTCTTAACATTCTAAAATTCGAAAACCCGAAACACACAAACCTAAAAACTATATAGTAGTAAATACAAGCACACATACATTGTTGACACTTAATAATTGGAATGCATATAAGAGCTAAATACTTATAGCACACAAACATAACAAGCAAGCTACGCTGCAGACGAAGCAGATATATACAAAGCCATTGCCTTCTGGTTCGCGATTGTGCCATCGTGTGTCTTGAAATCCAAGGTCTGGTCGTTGTATATTTTCCACCACTTTTGCACCAGCATTTTGACATCCGCACGGCCCATATTCTCCTCTTTCCCAGTGTAGCTCCACGGCTTGGAACCCGCCACACAGTAGTGAACCACTTTGACCTTGGTGAGGTCAACCCACTTGGGGTGCCTCCACAACATGGCCACAAGACAGTTGTAGATAGGAGAAAGTGGCTTCGACATATCTCGAAAGAACATGTTTAGGAAATCCTATACACATATCGTACATATATAGAGATATATTCATTTAATTATATACTGGTAAACCTCTTATAGATTGTAAGTGAATTTCGAGCTTACTTATCACTGAAAAACTAACTTATATGATATCAAATATTTTGTCCTGTCAAACCAAACTTATTTAAATACAACAAGTTTCTAAACAAAGCCTAATTTCCTATAATTAATTATAATCCATATAGATAATACATATTGCTAGCAAACAATGTAATTAGGCTCATGCATGGTTCACATTATGTCATTCAATACCTGCTCAGCGAAAGGTGTCCGAGGCGTGATCTCCAGAGTTGTCATCAGCTCATTGTACGTTTTCACATTGGGCTCAAACAAGAACATGCCACCATTGAGATAGAAAGTGGGCTCGGGCCCAAGCTCCGCGGGCCACTTGGGCTTCAGAGGACAGGGCCCGTCGTACATTTCACACAGGCAGTCCACCACGCCATAGAAGTAGCCGCCCGGCAAGTCAAACAGGTGGTCAATGTTGTCAAACACTTGGATGTCTGCATCCACGTATATCATTTTGTTGTACTCCACAAACTACACTTCCACATCACACTACACATAAGCTACCATCTATATTTCCCCCTCAAAATTAGTCTATCACTTTCACAATATATAATAGTGTTTGTAACAAATCAATACTGCAGAACATTTCACGAAATATCGGACAGAAGGAAAGCAAAAATGAAATTTGAAATTCATAATTCTTCATCTGGAACCACGTAAAATTGAAGTTGTATTAGTACAATTATTACCTCCCAAAGGCGAAGCTTACAATAATTGACAGCAAAATAGGCTCTAACAAAAGGTCTGTCCCCGCGGGCAGCCGCCGCCGGCGGCGGCGGCAGAACCCGCCGGATCTCACGGACCACGCAGCCTTGCTCCGCTAGGGCACGACGGTGCTCCGGCGGCACGTCGGGAAGAACGGCCACGACGAGCGGGTAAGCAGCTCTCACCTTTCTCAAGCCCTTGGCCAGACCAATTACCCCTTTCACGTAGTCACCGTCGCCGGCCAGAAACGTGACGTAAGCACATCTACGATCCGTCGTCAGACGATTTCCGCTGCGGTTCGCCATCTCAGGAGTATATATGTTTTGACGAGCTCAAGTTTGGTTCACGACCTTAATTTTATCTAATGCGTACTATAATGTTGGTGGAAATTGAAACTCAATTGTGAGCGGCAAAACGGTGGCTCGAGATTTTATCTTTGCAGTGGATCAATACGATTTAGGGGATAGGTGAAGACTGGGGCATACGTGTAAGGAGCTGGTTGATTGGAAAGGACACGTGGACTAAAGGGGGCAGCAAAAATATTGTATATATTTATAACTTAGATAAGAGTTCATGTTTCGGATCATCATATTATTCCTTTCATTTTAATATTTACAATTGTTTAATGAAATTGCCATCATTAGGCCGTGATTGGAATGAATCCAACCAATTTTGGTTACATTTAGTTGGTTAAAATGAGTATTGTAAATAAAATTTATTGGATTGATAATTTTAAATTTATAATTAAATAATATTTTAAGTGTAATTATAAAATTGATGTGATATCAAAGTATGAGAGAAGTTATTGGAAGTAAAGTAAATTGCAATTTTAGTCTTGCATGTTTCACTACCAATATTTTTTCGTCCTCTTCGAATTACGTTTTTTATGTTCTCCCTGTGTGTTTGCAAAAATGTTAAAATAAGGTCCTTTTCATACAATATAAGGGACGAAATTTAAATTTTTTTTTGCAAAAACATAAAGAACCGTTTTGTTACGAAAATGACCTTTTTGTAACATTTTACTTGTTGTTATTATTATTATTATTTGTTGAATGCTATAAATTATTAATTGACTAATATGATTTATTTGTCAAATTGTTTAATTTTCTAAATATTAATTAATTTCCTAATTGTCTAAGTGTTATAAATTAATTAAAATGTGTATTTGTATTTTTACTAATATTATTATTATTTAAAAAAAAATTAAATGGTGTGTATTAAAAATATATATTATATCCAGTTTATTTTAATTTTTCGCCACGTCGAACCGAGCCTCGTATAATTTCGAGTCGAGCCAGAGAGAACCGACCGATTTTGATTATTTTTCGTAGCCATTGCGAGATTAATTTGGCCCAACCCAAATTATCTTGAATTATCCCATTTGGATTAGTTTTGAGCCCATTTAAATTAAAGCCTTTGGCCCATGTATTATTATTAGCTTGGCCCAAGTGGTTGTATCACGTGAGTTTTCTCTTCTCCAGCGACCGAGCCCCGTTCGATTATTACATTGTTCGGATATTTTCTATGGGCATAATTATTATTATTTTGAATTTAATTGTCAAAGCGATATTATTGTGTGGAATATAAGTATATTATTGTGTTATGGAATATAAGTATATTATTGTGTTATGGAATATAAGTATATTATTGTGTTATCATATATATATATATATATCCGGTTGGATTTATTTTGTTCTCTCGTTCGACGTACCGTTGAATATTTATTTATCCATAGTATTTTGTTGAGCTATTTTCGATCTTTTCTCGAACTTTTACTCGGACCCTTTTTGGCTAATTGGTTCGGCCATTGAGCCATTTTTTTTTCGGCCCATGTTGAGATAATAGTGCTAGCCGAATCGATTTATTTACAATCTTTATGTCAATTTAATCCCAACTCAATGTGACTACATCTTTTTGGCCCATTTATGAGTATTATGCTTTGGCCCAAATAGAATAGAATCCGCTGCCCCTCCAATATCCCATGTAAGACTCGGTCGTCTTCTTCCATCGGCATTCAAAAATCTGTTGCGATATTGCCGTGTGATCCTTCGCACGATCACCCAATCTCTCTCGTATCTCTTATAACTCGGCCGGACGAGGTCAGTTCTCGTACCCCTCTGTTTTTCATCTTAGAATCAAAAAGCAAATATCCCAACTTCTATCTTTTTCTCTCGGCCATGAAGCATTTTATTCCGGTAACTACGAGCAGCCACCGGCCGCCCTGTCAGTACCCCTGGCCGCCGGCCATTATAGATCCTGTTCGCGAGCAGCAAACTGAGCCAGACGGACCCCGTCAGCCATTGTTATCTCGAGTCGAGCCATCAGCCCGAGCCGTCGATCTGCTCGCCATTAGTAGTCGATTCCCGAACCTCGGCCCACGTCCGATTTTCCCCGACGTGACACGAAGCACGAATTCAAAGCCATCGCCGAGAACGTCAAAGAACACCAGTGATCTTACGCCACGATTGACCAGCCGAGACTCATAGATGATCGTTCACTCAGCCACGAACGCAGCCACAGACAGCAAACCCACGCAGCCCCGCCGCGAAACTCGCTGTTAGCGAGCCCTTCCCGTCGGGTTATCACAGCAGCCTCCGTCCGCCACATCGCACGCCCAGGACCGCCGTGAGCAAGCCGCAGACGTCCGCTACAACCGCCGTGAGCGCGAGCTCCTCCCATCGCCGAGCGCTGCCAAATTTCGAGGTCCATACGCCACTCGACCACCGGCCAGATTTGTAGAGAAATCGGTGAGCGAAGAAGAAGCGAAATTGATTGCGGTAATTAAAATTTCTGGTGTTTGTGCGAATGGATTGAACATGGGAGAGAATTTGGGAGAAGAAATTGAATGAGAAAGAGGGATTTGATAGAAGAGAAGAAAGAAAAACGACGGGAAGAGGAAAGGAAAAAATTGGAGAGAGAGAAAAAGAAAAATAGGAAAAAAAAAAAGAAAGTGGGCTTGGTAAATTTTTGGGCCAAGGTTTGGGCTGTTACTTAAGAAGAGAAATAAATATGGACTAAGTGAAAACGGGTATTGCCAGGAAGCAATGAGGCGCCGCTCAATCCTCAAGATTCCGTCCAGCCCTAGCCCTGTTTTCTCGTCTCCCCGTTGGAGTACGGTAATGGGTGGCTTATCCTGGACTTATTTTTTATGTGTATATGTATATATGTGCTGCCTTATTGATATGATTATGAAATGCGTTAATTTTATTTGTCTTCTGTAACGATCTCTTCGATTTTGTGAAATCGAATGAGACCTCGTTAAATCCGTGTTAAGTACTATGGAATTGGAACACTAATGAGTCCTTGGCCTGATGGTGAAGGCCTCGGACAATTTCGGTGCTTGTCGAGTCGTATATGAATTTATGAACTCGTATAGTTGCTGATTATGTATTAAATTCGTGATAAGTTGTATATTGCTCGAATTTTGTAAATTCGCACACTTTGAGTTTGGGGCTGAAAATTGGTGGTTTTATTTAACTCTGGGAGGTGAAATTTTGGTTAAAATTTTAGAGTTAAATTCGTATGATAACCTGACCAACCTATTTTTGTGATTAAAAACTAGTATTTTCAAATATATAGTTTTTATATTAATAACTGTAAATTGACTCGCCTTCCATTCTTTTAAGTGTTTGACTTGGTCAATCTTTGTCTTGGATTATGTGAACTCCCATGTGTATTTGGTTGACCAACATCCACAGGACTTCACGAACAACTTAGTCGAATCAAGTTCGGCTAAGAATAATTGTGATTTCTGTTCAAGTCATAATAGATGTTGATTATAGCATCTATCATTATATAAAAAGAATAACCTTTTTACAAATTTAGAAACTTTTTCCCGCCAAATTCATTAAATATATCCTACATATAGTAATTGTTAGACAAATCTGAATAGACAAAAAAAATCGGCTCATTAATTGTGTAAAGATTTGTTTCTCTTTTTCCTGGTTTTTAGTTTATCAAAGTCGTTGTTTGACAATAAATATTTATTTTTCTTTTTCTTATTTTTAGTATAAATCTACACGAGCTTATCTCTTCTGTTACAAATTCTCATTGCATACGTGTGTTTAAAAAATCTCATCCCTTATCTATACAGATTTGAAAAAATAAAATAAAATATAAACCAATTCATAATTACTACTAGAAATCCACTATCTTTAAAAAGAAAAAATAAAATAAAATAGAAACAAATTCATAATTACTACTAGAAATCCATTATCTACTTTAAGAAGCTAATTTTCATCGATCTAATTACTAATATTTTTACAAATATTATAAGCTAACCATACAAAAAAATATAATAATAATTTTGAAATGGTGTGTAATTAAATTTTTTTATATTCTCTTATACAAAATAATTTTACATTGTTTGACCCCAAATCTTTAATTTATAATTATTAAGTATTGTTTATCCTCTTCTTTAACATATAATTATTTTTTTTCTTTCTCTTTTTAAATAGGATCAATAGTAGTTTTCACTTCCGCCATTGAGTGACTCAAACTCGAGGTCTATTTATAATATTGTTAATTTAATATTGTTCTCGTGCATCGCACGGGGTACACACTAGTCTGGACTTAATGTAGGTGTTTCAGGAGTTGAGCCCTCGACCTACCAACCTGTTTGTGTGACTTCTCTACCGATTTAGCAGGTGGGTTTTATTTGAAAAGTTTCTATGCATTAATTAATTGTTATTGTTGTGGTATGATCAAAGTATGCATGTGAACCATGTAGCATTCGATGTGAGCTATATTGGCCGTCGAACGGTTATCCCCGTAGCTATAGAACGTACCAGACGAGGTGTCTCCTTTATTTATGTATGGCAGTCAGGGCGTGAGCCTTGGCTGGTGATCCTCGATGTAAGTCCGATGGGATGTTTCCGGGCATTCGAGGTGGATTTACTCCTACTGGCTGGGCATCGAATGTAAGGCCCGCGGGGGTTTTCGATACGTGTATCAGCAGTGGTCTATTGGTATAGGTGTGCACATGAGAATTGACTCTGGGAAGGAGATGGGATATTAATTGATTTGTGTTCATACTGCGACCATACCTGCTTTATTTTATGAAATCTAATATTAATTATTGCATAGTGGTGAGCACCTCGATTTTCTATTGTGTTCATCCCCACCTGCTCTTCATTGATGCAGGTTAGTAATTGCGGGCACGATAGAGGGAGGCGAGTGGTGGTCATGTTATCGTTTATTTCCGCTGCATTAAATTGCTTATTATGATTTATGCATTCCTGATTTATGTTGAGTATTGGATTATCGATAGAGAGTGTACTACCTAGTATTTATGGATTTGGTGAACCCGTTTTTGGGTGTTGGTGTCACGAACCCGGTTTGGGTGTTGACTATTTATGAGTATTGAACCTGGTTGGGTGTTGACTATTCATGAATTTTGAACTCATTGGGAATTGCATATGTGAGATTGTTGGAATTGTTTTGGGAAAATGAGTAGCGCCTCAAGAGTTTTGAAATAACTTTTGAAAAATTTATTCTGAATTTCGGCAAATAAAAGTGGGGAGTTACTGTTGTAATATCCCACTTTGATTTAACGAAAATCCATGGCTTTTCAGAAAAATCAATTTAATTTTTAAAACTCCATTTAAAACTTTTGTGGCGTTACTCATCTATACTTATATAATAAGAATTAACATTTATCCAAAATAGTAGATCAAATTATGGTCAATGTCGGATTTGCATTAAATATTTTCCAAAACCGGTAAGTTTTTGTCCTTTTCACACTTCTCATTAATTATGTCCTTTTCACACTTCTCATTAATTATGTCTTTTTTACACATCTAATTAAATCATTCCATATGAGCTTTTATCGTTAAAATGTATAGCGATCTGTTATGACCTTATTCCATTGATATTTTCATGAAGCGTCCTTATCGCGTTCTATTTTTTGGTAACCATTCTATATCAATAACCGAATATTTGGTTAATGATAGCACACGTCTTTATTTCAAGGAGCGGATATTCTTTGACCTTTAATTAATCTGAACTGATTGCCTCGACTTTTCAATTTTTAAAAACTCTTTTTTTATCGCACGTTGGTCTTTTCCTGAAGAAACCCGTTTTTAGTCACGGCCAATTATATGTTGCTGCTTCGCGTGTAAATAATAGAAGGGGTTTGAAAATATTAGTTTGTGATAATGAGGAGTTACCAAATAATCAAACTCATAATGTTGTGTACAAGGAGGTCTTTAATAAATTATGATTGTTACCGAACTTTTTATTCAACAATGTTCCTATGTATTTTAATGATTTCAATTTCAATCCTAATGCACGTGAGATTATATTATTCTTCCAAATTTTACATCCTGTGCATCGCACGGGTTACGTACTAGTTTATTTCAAAATCAATATCATATATAACAATCATCATCATAAAATACAATCATAGCAATGACATCAAAACATAAATCAACACCTCATCAAAGGTTTCATCTCAAGTCATAAATACCCAAACCGGGTTATCAACCATAATCAAAAGACGTAGCAATGTCAACGGGACATCTCCTCAACAATGTTTCAAATCATCATAATTATTCCAAGTTTCACTAAAATGCATTTCACCTACACCTACATTTTATTTTTATGAATCATCCTAGTCCCTATAAGTTGAGCAATACTAAAATACATGGGCAGACTTTTATGCTCTTCTAGGTACACTAACCATACAAATTTAATAAAATAATTCAAATAAATTAAATATGACCACCTCCGCAAGTAATTAAACAAAGCATAATGAATCGTACTAGTCCCTATATATGACCAATACTAAATACATGGGCAGACTTTTATATTCTTCTTGGTACACTAAAAATAAAAATTTAATTTAATAATTCAAATGAATTAAATATGACCGCCTCCACAAATAATTAATTGTTCGGATTCAATCATTATATTTTTCGAACAAATATGTATATTTGTACGATTAAATAGCATACTTCACTTATATTTTTATAAAGTTTAAGTATTTGAACATATTTATATTTCATATATAATATATAATATTTTACAACCGCATAATTGGACTAATATTGGTCTTACAACGATGGAAAAGGACACCAAATAAATTAAAATAAGTTTAATTTTATTACATGTAAATCAAGAATGTCACAATATAATAATAATAATAATAATAATATGATCATAATCAACACATTCATCCCATAACTTCAAATAATAAAACACGATTTTTTTTTTTAATCTCTCATTATTCATCATAATATTGTGCAAAGCAGTAGTAACTCATTAAAGTTTATTCTTCCTCCTACACCTCCTTCACTTCCACCGCCGCCGCCGCGGGTGCATCCACCTTGACTTCCTTCTCCGGCGCCGGCAAGTTGTCCTTCACCTCCTCTTTTTCCTCCGGCGCCGGCACCCCACCATCCCCAGCCTCTTCCTTCTCCTTCTCTTTCTCCTCCACCACCTTGGGCTCCTCCTCAATCTGGAAAGCCTCGACGGGGAAGGAGCGGCTGAGACCGGCGGGGGTTTTGAACGTGATTTTTCCGGTCGGTGGGTCGTCCACGTAGATGTCAGAGAGTGTGACCCATAAGAGGAGCTCTTTGGTCTTGACTCCGGTCAGCTTCCGGATGCGGTTGGGCTCCACGTAAGCAGTGACCTCGGTGGCGTACCTCACGGGCCGGCCGATCTTCTCGAACCGGTGCTCGCACTTGGCCTTCTGGCGGAGCCACACGAACCCGGTCTCCTTCACGTACCCGCACTCCTCCATGTCCTTGAGCGGCAGCAGACCGTTGGGCAGATTCATCTCCGTCAGAAGGAATCGAGACTTCTCCTGGCAAATCTCGTCCCCTTCGTACATCTCCGACGCGGCTGCCCGGATCTCGTCGGTCACAAGAGACATTTTCTTTTTCTTTTTTTTTTTTCTTTAACCCGACGTCGTTGACTTTTGTATGTGTATTGGAATTTGGGCCTTATTTATAGGTGAGATATATGGAACGAAATTTTGCCGGGTGATTTATAGATGGGTGTTAAAATAAAAAAAATAAAAAAAAAAAACTTTATTTGTTCGTTGTTTGTTGTGGTAATTAATGTGATGTGATGGTGGTGGTGTGTGGGTGGGGATTGTAATTAAGGAATGCATGGGAGGAGTTACGTGGCTGGATGTATATAGGTCACCTAATTTGTTTACACCTCTGCTCTGACTGTTTTGTGTCTCTCACCCTTTTCTTTAATTTGAATGAAAAAAACTAGTTAAAAAGGGGAAAATGTAAGAGATAACTTTTTTATTTTATTTATATTTTAAATTCATCTTACAAAATTTTTATTGTTATTTATATTTAAATGAGATTTTCACTTGAACGATTCTTTCATTTTATATTTTAATATTTTGTAAGTCATATATAATATTGAGTTAATGGCGATTTCCAATCGAAGTTTTTCAAAATATGATTAATTTAATATCTTTTATATAAAATAATGGTAATAAAAAATTAAATTTTAAATATATTAATAATTTCAATCGCATTGACACATAGAATTACGAAATAGTACATAAAATTACGAAACACCAGAAATTTGACACGATTACGAAACAACAAAAATACACACATAAGATTGTAAATTATGTATTTATATACTGGTGGTATTATTACATTTTACACCCTTAAAATCAAGGGCGAGGTAAAATCAGGGAAAATATAATTTATTAGTTCAATTAAGTATTAATTAATACTTTTGTAATAGTAAATAAGTTATATTATTAATTTTATTAGTAAAGTTAAGAATAAAAATATAAATTAAACTAAGAGTAATATATTTGAAGAAAAAACATATCTACAAATAAAATTGGATATAATATATTTTCTATCCTAAATCTGGTAAGTGAGCACTGTGATGAAAGAGTTCCGTTGCTGTCGGTCCAATCAGCGGGAAGCTAACTCCTTGGAAAAAGCGATTTCAACACTACAAAGTTACTATTTGTGAAAAAAAATGTATGATTTTATACTACAAATAATATGATTTCAAAACGAAGAATCATTTATTTATATAAAATAAACAAAAAATCCGTCGACAAAAATAAAAAAAAAAAAAATTGTGGACAAAAATAAAAAGCATGTATTTTTATAATACTTTTTTTAATTAATTTTTTTTTTGTTAAGCTCGACTCTTTGATGTTCACGAACTTGTTTACCAGCAATCGCGTTTATTTTAGCTGAATTTTTTATTCTTATCCTTCAATATAAAGGTTTTTTATAAATTTTGATTTAATATTTTGAACATGAAATAATATATCTTTAATATCAATTCATTCGTCAAATTATAAATCTACCCCCTACCATTAATACATACATACACAAAATACTATATAATAAAAGTCAACCACCATTACCGATAAAAAAAAATGAACCATAAAAAATGTATACAAAACCATCAAAAATAAATATCTGAAAATCTAGTACAAAAAAAAAAAAATAAATAAAAATATCCACAAAATCACAAAATACAAAACAAACTAACTAACTAGGAGTATATGGAACCTTAGCCCTACGATTTCGGGACCCTCTCCGAGGCCCCCGTCTCGAAGAAGACGATCCTGCAGTCGGTCCAAGTGTGGCTGGTTCTTCTTCTTGTCCACCTTATTAATTAATTTTTGTAAAAAATCAGTAATTCGACCGGACAAATAAATTAAAACAAACACAAAAAATATATATTTGTAGTTAAATAAAAAAATCTCACTTTCTTCGTCTTCTTCATTCCCGGGGAATGCAGCGGCGGGTTCGCGGTCACGGCGTCTTCTCCCCCCACCAATGTGGGACGTCGGTCTATGTCTCGCCCGCTGGGACTGTGTCTGCTGGGGTGGGGCGTACTCTTCTTGAGATAAAATTTGTTCCGACGACGCCCCTTGTGTGACCGGATGACCCCGAACAGTCAGAGAAGCGTACAGAAGTTCCTGGGCTTGCTGCAACTGTGTCTGCGCTCGGGGAGGTAGCATATCAAAGTCTTCAATGTTGGATAGCATGTTATACGCCCCCTCCGTACCCGAAGTCTGAAAATAAAATTCAAATATCTATTAAATATTAAAAATAATAATAATAATAATAATACTAACTTCAATAATAATAATAATAATAATAATAATAATAATCACAAATTAGCAGACACTTACCTGACACTTCTCTCGGTCGGCATATGGCTGAAACCCGCCGTCCTGTGAGATCGCCGCGTAGTTGCTAGGGTCATTGAGTAGTCTCACAGTCCTACTGCGATACCAATCAATGTACCCATCTGCCGGCTGCAGGAAGGGATCCACCGGGACATCTGAGAGGATGTTCTGATCTCTCTGTTCGGTCCAGATCCTCCCAAGATCAGCATGGAAGGCCTGCCAATCGGTATATGCCCTCCCGGTCATGCCCTGGCCTCTGTGGCGGGTGTCCCAGTCGGCCAGATTAGTAATGATCGGCGTCTAGGGGATGGGCTGGTGGCACCGAAACTGGCGGAGCACCCTATCAGGCTGGTGGGGTTCTGTGATGTTCCAGCAGAAGATCCACCCCTTGTACATCCAGAGATGTCGGTCTCGTGTACACTGGTCCGGGAGCCGACCCTCGTCTATGTACCTCTGATAGGGTACCCAATCGAACTGTAAAAAAAGAAAAAAAAACATTTATAGAATTATTAATGAATGTAATAAAAAAATAGAATTAAAAAAATAACAATTATTTATTATTATGACCTAAGAAACTTACATCAGTCTCTCTCAGGCCACTCAGCTGATCTCGGATGGTAGCCGTGCCCGTCCCCAGGTGCCTCATGTCCCTCGATCCCACCCACCTTAAAAATCACAGAAAAAAATTATTTGTAATTAAAAAAATTGATAATTGAAATAAGTTATGAGTTGAATATAAATAAATGGGGTATTATTACCTTGCACCCAAAGGACAACCAGGCTGAGAGCCGAAATGCGT